CCCAACCCCCCCCCCCCCCCCCATTTGCCTGCTACAGGTCCAGGTCCTTCTCTACTACTTGCAGCATCCTCCCATCTCCTTCACTGAGCTGAAACGCAACACACTTTACTTCTCCACGGACGTGTAGCCTGCAGGGAGAAGGCACCAGCTGCAAACACTCCCAGCTCCCTGCTGGGGGACATGGACTGGATCGCAGCCCCCCAGGGAGACCGGCCCGGACCCAGGATGGTGCCGCCTGCAGCTCCTGTACAATCGCGTGCCAGTGGCCCGGTCCCACCCCAGGCACCGTGCCTCTCTGTAAAGTAGTCGTGTCTTATGTCCCTTCTTGTGTTCAAGAAATGTTTTTATGTATATTTGTTCAATGGAAGAGGTAGTGACTGACAAGGGCTGTGGACACAGGCTTCCCCCCTTGGCTAGTTTTCTCCTGGACTCCTTTCTGCCTGCTCACTCCTACCAGGCACCCCGTCTTGCCCAGCTCGAAGCCTGCAGCATCCCACGAGTGCCTGTTTCACTGCCCAGCTCCCTTGCCCCACACCTGCATGTGCAGCACCAGCTCGCTTCAGAGGCTGGGAGCTCATGGGCTTCCCTCCCCGGTGATGGTGACGACCAGCTCTGCTTTGGCTTGCTGCCTGCGCAAACATTGGACCCCGTGCCTGGATCCTGCTCTGGCCCGAGCAAACCTACGACCGTGAGAGCAGAGGAGCAGGGTGCTGCTTTCTCCTCGCCACGTCTCTTCTGGGTGCTTTCAGGCCAGTCCCCTCTACAGCCCTTACCCTGTGCTTTGCCTGTGTGCGTGTAGCATGGTGGTTACTTCCCTCGCTGTTTCTCGCCTCTGAGTAGCATTTTGGGGTAACCCATCACACGAGGCTGGAGCGAGAGGTGCTGTGCTGGTCTCAATCCACGGCATGCTTGAGGGATGGCCAGCCAGGCAGGTCTGCTCCCTCCACCATGGGCTGACCCCAGGTCTGTGCTCTGGCACCGATAGGGTCCCATCGGGGCACATGGGTCCCACAATTTCCCCAAGAAGCCTTGGCAGGGCAGGGAACAGGGTCCCTGCCATTTCCATACGCCCGTATCTCTGCCATAGCGAGGCACGCATGAGTGAGGCGCACACACCGCTGGCAGCCCAGCACTACCGTAAGGGCTGCTGGTGCCGGCTGCACCCTGTGGCAGAGCCTGCCGGGGCACCAGCGTTCCTGCCGTGGCCATGAGGATGGGAAGGTTTCTGTTTCCCCCCCTTGGCCTTCCCCGCTGCCCCAGGCACTGGGCAAACGGCAGCATAGAAGTAGCCCTGCCTTGGTGCCAGCCAGGCTGCCAGAGGCAAATGCTCTCTGTGGCAGCTGGACGGTCACCCAGCCTGGAAACCAGCGCAGAGGGACGGGAGGAGGAATGCCTTCATGGCCCTCACTGCCAGAGGCAGAAGTGCTTCATTTGCTCTTACTCACAAAGCCGTTGCTGCTGGGCTAGCCATGCCTGGCCAGCTCAGGTCTGTTTTAGTTAGTAGCTCCAGTTCTTAACCCCCAGGCTGATGGCTGGAGTTGTCACGTTGTGTCCCAAGGCAGGACGGCCACGTGTCTGTGTTCGCTGCCAGGCTGTGCTCCGGCTGCCCGAGTGCCTGGCTCCTGGTATGTCCCCCACCCTCCCATACTAACAGGTAGGTGCTGGTACCTGTTGGAACACGAAACCTTTCGCTCTGTGAGCCGAGTCTGTGTTCTCGTGGGAAAAGCCCCCTCCCCAACTGCGCTGGCCCTGTGCTCTCCTGTGCCAAATGGAGATGGATCAGAAGTGACCAAGCTTATCCCTGCTAACAGCGGCATTGCCTTTACCCTCCCAACTAAGAGACTGTTCCAGGTAGAGCCCGGTCGCCTGCCACCAATGCACCAGGTATGTCCTAAGCCCACATCCCCGGGGAAGGCAGCACCTGCCGGCCCCGCACCAGCAAAGCAACTAAAGGAGGGGAGGTCTTTCAGTCCCCCTCCAAAGGGCTCACACTCCAGACCCTGCTCCTCTTGACTACCAGCTAAACAGAAGGGAAACAGCATTGCAGAAAATAACCAGGCGTCTCTTTTGGCCCTGGACCCAGTAAGGAGGCAGAGTTTTAGATGTGACTGCACAATGGATCCCTGTGTGTGTCTGATTTGTTACATGTGTCCAAGTCTCTGTCCATGATACTGTCCGCCCAGATGGAGACTCTGTACAGCCAAATCACCCCTGCGCGACAGTGGCTGGAGGCCCGGTCCACACAGCCCCAGCACGACAGGCTGCAGCCGTCCCCGTGACCGGCTTTTGTTTGTCCCTACAGGAAGGAAAAGAAGGGGGTGGACTCTTGCAGCTACAGGTAGAATAGAACTGTTAATTAATATTTGACTTTCAAAGGTTGTTAAGGATATATTTTTGTTGTGTTTTGTTTCAATTTCTGTAGATTATAAACTTTAAATGGCTGTAAACTATGTGAGGAGAAAAAAAATGTTAATAAAAATGCAAAGCCCCAACATTTGCACAAAAGGAGCCCCATGGTGTTGCTATTTGCACTAGCTGATCACCTTGGCACCACAGCTTCTCTTTCTGTCGTGGAAATCTCGCTAGTTGCACTTCAAGCCAGTAGTATAAGCACAGGCATTGTGCCAGACAATTTTTAAGAGACATCTTATGGTTTGGGCTACATCCTTGCATTTCAGTACATTCTGGAGGAAAAAACCCTGGACTGTCTGGAGCCAGCCTGTTTAATCAGCCCAGAATTACTCAAGCTTAAAATTCAGCTGACTTGCACAGCTTCTGGCCTGAGGATACTGAACAGGCACAGCAAGGGACATCAGGCAATCTGGAAACCTCATCTGACAGATCACATGGTGCTGTCTCCCCACTTCTTTCCATGTGGGAATGGGAGACAATATGCCTCCAAACTGACCACCCTATCAGCCAAACCACCCTGCTAGTATTGCTCTTCCAGGTAAGCAAGTGCTGTCACCCTTCTGGGATGTCAAACTGTGGATGCAAAGGAGGGGAAGCGGTTGGAAGAACCCCCATTAGGTGTGTGCACTGAATCTGAAATTCCGCTGCCTCAAAAAGATGAGGGTGGGTGTTTGCCCTTGTGGAGTGGCTCAAGGAAGGTTAAAATCATTCTAAACTATTCAGAGTATAAAAATTACGTGCTGAGGTCTGAGAACAGAGCTTGGTTGGAAAAGCAAGAGGGCTAATATGAATGCAAATCAAAAAGTGAGCAGCTCCTTGAGCTAGTGAACAGATATTTCGATTTCAGTACCCATGTTCTGCAGAAATAACACTTCACTTTCCCCATGTAACACTGGGGCACTCAGAGGTGGTACAGGGACGTGATGGAAAACAGACTGTGTGCTAAGTGAATGCCCAGTTATCTGTCTAACAGTGGTTTATTCTCACAACTTTACTTTGTAGTCTCACCATCAAACTACTGGAACTAATGGTGTGAGCCTGTGGCAGTTAAAGCAGTAGCAAGATTACTTGTACTCCCACAGCGAGGTTAAATCAGGCTAGCCAAGTGGCTACAGAGAATTATACTTCTGCAACAACCTCTTTCTTTTTCTCCTTAAACCGTTTTGTTCATCTGCCAGTAACCACATGGTTCTAAGGCTAAGGATTCCTTTTTGCTTTTCCCTTTAAGACATGGTAAAGAAATCTGGCGCTCATCTCTGTGCTTGAAATAAGACAAGTTGTACAGATGGTGGTTTGTCTTCAGCTGGTATTTTAAGAAAAACCTGGAACAAACTATTTCTCCACAGATTCTTACCTCTCCCCAACAGAGTAGCAAGCTGCAAACTGATAACTGTTAAACACTTGCAGCACATTCAAATACACGGTAACCTAAATCACTGCATTTCTTTTTGAAGATTGTCCTCCTGCCTCTTTTGATGCTAGCAACAGACTTAATCAAAATCAGACCCAAAGGATCGAAAAAGCTCAGAGTCCAGGCTTGTTTCCTGGAAACTGACAGTCAGCTGATCCGTCCTGGAGATACTGCTCACTGCGCCTGGCTCCATCCTTGCATACTCCCGCAAGTCTGCCTGAAGCAGCACGCCAGGGCTCAGAGCCAGATTATTGTTAGTCATTCAGGAAAAGCAGCCAACACCATTCAGCTTGCACTGATCAGGACTCCAAAGGCAGTGGAAAGGTAAGCCTGATGGTTCTTCTGCCGTGATGCAAGCTCTTAGCAGCAGCACTGGAACAAAAGGGAAACTTGCTCCCAAGGGATCCCACTGTTACCGTAGATAGTAATCAATTGCAGCGGAGAAAGCGGCAAATCCACCACAGCCGATAACCCCTGCCTTCAAACCAGCTGCAAGGCAAAAAGGGTGGGAAAGAATGAGACAAAACAGGAAAGATATTTTTCCTCCCAGTAACTATCTTACGCTGGTCTGGCTCAAAGAGCTTACACCTGCAGGAACCTGGCAGTCTGCTACCAGGGTCACACCAGCACTACCAGTGCCCAAGGTGAGGGGGGGAACCTGGCACACGCTGGACTTACTTAAACTACCATGGCTGGACTAGCACGGCACGCTGGCTGGGCGCTGTGTTGCTAAGTTTCCCCCCAAGGGACAGAAGAGAAAATGCCAGTGGCCGTTGCTGACTTCAGTGCGCTCTGATCTGAGCGCTGCAAGTGGCTTTGCTGTCCCTAGGGAGGGATAGAAAGAGCAGCTACTGCTTTGAAAGCTCTAAGAGGATTAGGTCCAGGACAGACACAACTTAACAAGCTCAATTAGAAGCACTTTCAAGAGCACTTTCTTTTCTTCTATGCTCTGTGGACAGTTTTTTTTTTTCTTAAGGAGAGGTGAGAGAAGTTTGATATTTCTGATGAGCAGAGCAGCTCTCTTCCTACTTGGGGCTTTTCTCCAGATGTTGTTAGCACTCAAGGCTTTCCAAAGTCCCCCGACGGTTAAT